TTCATGCACCTGGAACTTTTTACATCTATTCCAATCTTAAATTACTTTAGTCATCTATTTTGTGAAATCGGTGTTGTATGTACTTGAGTGCACGCTTGTGCATCTAACGTAATTGTTTCCATGTCTTTTGCTTGGACTGTTGTGTACTTAAAATTTTACATAAAAACTACTTGTAGTAAAAGCCAATATGAAAAAGGTTTCAAGTACTAATTAACGCTAATTTTGTATGTCAACAGCTACTGAGAGGTATGCAAACTTTGTGCCTATGCCTACAGTGTTGAAGTCTGTGTGATACGCTAACTTTGTGTCTATGTTAACAGCCACTGAGCGGTATGTAAACTTGGTGCCTATCCCTACAGTATTGAAGCTGAGACAGCTCGCTGGTGCGAGTACGCCAAGACAGCTTGCTAGTGCGAGTGCGCCGAGACAGCTCGCTAGTGCGAGTACGCCGAGACAGCTTGCTAGTGCGAGTGCGCCGAGACAGCTCGCTAGTGCGAGTGCGCCGAGACAGCTCGCTAGTGCGAATGCGCCGAGATAGCTCACTGCCGCGAGTGCTGAACGTACCAGAACCGTTCGCTGGAGCGCGTTTAGCTGGTTGGCCTGCGTCTTCAGTGTATCTGTGATACAATCTGCGCCATGTGCACAGTGTTCCTCGGAGTAGACTTGTGTTATCTGTAGCGCGTGTTAAGCTCTAGTAGGAAGCGTTGTATACTAAAATCTGATTTGGACGATGTCTTCATTTCTGCAAAAACTAAGTCTGTATTTCATGGTCAGAAAAGGCCGAGACGGTAAACTTACTTTAAAGCCGGTAACGTTACTCTAGGCTTCACACGGGGCCCCCCCGAACGGGTTCCCGCCTTGTCGTGGCGGGGGGGCTTAGTAGCCGTGGCTTGGTCAACCACGGTGAACGAAGAGGAACCCCTTGGCTGGCCCGAGGTGTAGGGCCGGCCCGAGGTGGCCACTCCGAGTGGGCTTGGGAAGCCCACTTCGGATGTGTGTCGGGGGGCTGTGGTGAGAGGGGAGTCCGCAACCCTCTACCGCTGCAGCCGAGGTGGAGTCGCGGAGGAAGAGGAGTGTTGGTATGGCGATGCGCCACTCGCCCTATCCTCCGCGACTCAGACGGGGCCGCACCGTTGAATGATGCGGTGGTGGTGGGGCTGCGGGGGGAGAGGAGTGTCGGTATTGCGAGGCGCCGTCTCCCTACCCTCCGCAGCCGAATCTTGGTTGGCGGCGGAGCCATAGACCAGATCCGCCGCTGGGGTCGGGAAGGCTGGTGCTTCTTAGTGCTAGTTTTTCCTGGCCCCATGGTTATCGCGCATCGGACACGGGGGCGTCTGTTGCGCATATGAAATTGGAGGCCGAGGAGGAGGGCGCGCCATGTGTTCTGGTGCGCCTTACCGGAGAAGGAGATGGGGGAGGAGTGGTCCTCTCCCGAGGAGGGGCCGCCATGGGGTGGCCGGCGCAGGTGGGGCCGCGGAAGTGTGCGAAAGCGTTCCCGTGGCCCTGCCAATATGCGACGAGGGTGGAACACCATGGGGTTTTAGTCGGTGCGAGTCCGACATAACCCGTCCTTGCCCCCGCGAGGCGGGTATGCGTAGGCATTTCCCCATGTAAAAAAAAAAAAAGGCTTCACACGGGGACGTGTGAATTGTCAGGAAAGGCCGTGTTAGAAATGAGTAAAATAATAAAAGAAAATAAGAAAAATTGAAGATGGCAACACTGTTGTGCAGACATTGTTAGATCAGTCCGTGTTTGCTTCAGAGTAAATTCTAATACGAGTAACATTATTTTATTTAAATCATTTTGAGAATAGTTTCTAATAATATATTACAGCTGATTATTCGGATGTGCGGCCAGTGAGCAAAACAGAAAAATACTGCCAAAATATTATCTTTCATCGATGACTTATTTGACAGTGTGAATGGAAGTGTGGTGATAAATAATAAAAGAAGTGGGAAAGATTTAATAATTTTGGCATTCTGGCAGCAAGCTTTGTTGAAATTACAAAATTTGAAATTTGTTAATAAAAATGATCATGAATGTACAGTGCCCAGTGTAGAGAACTGAATGAGTACCATAAAAAGTTTTATAAAATTGTGGCAGTTTTTGTCCAAAAATAACATAAAAATTATGAGACCCCGCTATACAAATTCGGATGCAATTGAAAACTTTTTCGGTCAAATAAGATCATACAATTTTAGGGACCATAACCCGACTTGCCACTATTTCATAAATCTTTATTAATTACAGGATTCATTAAGTTTTACCGCTCATCTTTTAATTGTGAAGATGATGTTAGTGCACAATTATTAAAAATAATGAGCCTGCTTAAAGGCCATGAAAGGGAATTGAGTTATGAAAGTGGTGAAACTGGTGAATCTTATATTGATACTTATCCATTAATCCTAAATTTGTAAACAAAATTATTGTAAAGTTAATAGAATAAGGATTATATGATAATTATTAGTTTTATTTTGTTTAATTATAGTTTTTTAATATTGTACAATATATTAATTAATTAATAATTATTAAATTTGTAAACAAAGTTATTGTAAAGTTAAAATGAGGACTGTATAATAATAATTAAGATATTATAGTTTTAATAATGCATATATTTGTGGCGGCGCTGTCATCGCGCCACAAGCGAAACACATCGAAGCCTAAATCGCGCCAACAAAGTTCCGAAGTTAAAGCAGTATATATAGAATAGCTCCGAACTACCACTCGGAGCATTGCCGCCCCCCGGGCAGAACACCTTGCCCGGCAGGAGATCTCCTCTTTTCCTTCCACCGGCCACAGTGTTGACCCCGACGTGATATGAACACGCAACCAACAACCTTCGGAAACTAAATTTTCAAAATCTTCGTCATCGTCCTCAAACACCTCATTCATTCGCTCCCGAGCAGATATTCTCTGCAGTCTTTACATTTTGCAAGTCATCTAGCTTTACAAAGGTTCATCGCAGCACTGGAATAATAATGCTTCCTGTTCATTCAAGCTACATTCTCCGCTACAGTTTTCGGCACGGCTCTGAGCCTTACTGCTCGCCTCTGCTTCACGGCACTCTCGCAGATTACTTGCCTTCTTCTCGACTCACCGCAGACTACAAGACAATGCCTGGCACTTGCTCCGGCTCATCGTTCTCACCAGCATCACTTGCAAGTGCGTAGTACGGCATGCATTATACACCGGTATATCGTTCGCGCCGGCGTCACTTTCCCTTACACACACAGCATGCATTCCCCACCGGCATTAAGGACGCACCGGCAATCGGACTCCAGTATCGACCTCCGGTCTGAGCAGGGGGGTGATGTGGCGGCGCTGTCGTCGCGCCACAAGCGAAACACATCGAAGCCTAAATCGCGCTAACAAAGTTTCGAAGTTAAAGCAGTATATATAGTATAGCTCCGAACTACTACTAGGAGCGTTGGCCGCTCCCCGGGCAGAACACCTTGCCCGGCGTGAGATCTCCCCTTTTCCTTCCATCGGCCACATATTAATAAGTTAATTATTCAATTTGTAAACGAAATTATTGTCAAGTAAATATTAATAACTAATAAAAAATAGTAAATTTCAACATTGTTTCATTTGTATTTACCTCATTTTATTTTCAATATAATAAAATAAAATTTTCAAGTGGCTATTATTTGAGACGTCCTTTGCCTGGTATAGCCGTATCAAATAAAAAAAAAGAAATGTCATATAACCTTTTGCTACAACCAATCAGGACGCAGAAGCTAAGTCAAGTAAGTTTAGTTCGTGTCCGTCTGATTCGGTCTACTAGTTAGTCTGTGATTCTGAACGCACTTCAAGTTGCTTTTACCAAATGCTTAACGTAACCAATCAGCAATCAGTGATACTAGCTTCTAAAATTTGCCCCCTTTTTAGACTTTTTAATCTTACAAAAAATTAAATGTATAATATCACTGCATTCTAAAAATCCTAAAATAATAGAATGTTCGGAAGATTATACTATATAATGTGATTTGTGTGTTATATATAAATAACCCATCATCATTAATATAGCCTAATACAGGCCTTCCCTATAGATGGCTTCTTTGGAAGCAATTTGGCATAGTTGCCAAGCTTGAAAGGTGGATTGGCAACCGCAGGTTTTTTGTTATTTTGAGCTGGTTATAGGAAGATTCTACTGCCTATCTTATGTTTCAGTTTCTCTTTGTTGCCTCTTACGAACCGTGAGATGATATTGAGTAATGGATTATCTTAAGCCGCGCCACCAGTACACGATAAAAAGTCACGACTTAATTAGTTTATTGAATTTAATTAGAGCTTATACACGTCCCACGGCTGGGCAAAGGCCTCCTTTAATTTTTGTAAAGATTATAAGAGTATAAGAGTAAGTAAAAGAGTCAGTATAAGCTGTAATGGGGGATATAACAACGCTCCTGTTGTAGTCTATCCATTGCTCGATGGGCTGCAGTAGCCAATTACATTCAGGCAGACTTGTTATTTTTAACTCATTTGTCATTCTAATACCGTAAATTTGATATAAAATCAAAGGCGACATACTTTGTCTGCTTGTCACTTTGTCAGGGAAATCCTTTTAAGCTGGCAACCCAAACTAGGTGAATGAAGGAATTTGAAGAAATAGAAAGAAGTCGCTAATTTATGCGAGACGGCGTCTTTATTTTCATATGCAATTGCTTAACTTTTTGTGAAAATTGTGTAATATTACTTTCGTGCCCTTGGATGTCTACAGTTTAGTTTTAGTGGATTACAAATCTGTAAAATATATACATATTTTGGTTCCAATTGTCTAGGTAAGCTTGTTTTCTATGCATTGCATTCCATATAGTAATAGTGACGTATGTACTTAACTATAATGCACTATTTTCGTGCAGTGTGATATAATTTTTATCTTTGGAAATTTAGGTCTTATAATCGTAAATTTAGAAACGAAAGATCGATTCTCACCACGTTTTGTTTACATACCCATTATTTACAAGTGTAAACATACTTGCAGGAAAAAAATATCCAATATGGGCGACCAACAGTTCTTCCTGAAATGGAACGACTTTCAGACGAATATGGTGACTTCTTTTAGGCATTTGAGGGACGAAAAGAGCTTTACAGACGTAAGATATACCTTTATTATTTAAAACTATTATAGATTTTATTAGTTGTTGTAGTTATAACCTAGATAAAATTTTGTATTTCTAATACTTCCATGAGAAAACTTTTTATTTGCTTTTCACCAAACTAACGTATTTTTTATTCATACTTTTGACTTAAAAAGTTAATGCCTATTTTGGATTAATTGATTCCTGCAATTCTTATATATTAGAAAATCATAGTGACCATTAATAATGTTACACTGACATAAATTCATTCAGCTTTTGATGCTGGTCATCATCATTATCACCATTTTTACAGACTATCAAAATGCACTGCTGATCATAGGCCTTCCCCATAAATTAACTTATAGAGGGATATTTCCTATAGTTGCCACATTATACAACTACAGCTATTTATTACATTCAGTTGTTATCAAGAAGATGCTGCTGACTATCTGCTGAAACATTTTCTCTGTGTCGTTTCTTAAGACACCCATGGGATGATATGGGCTAGTGAATTCTCTACGCCACAACTACTCTGCAAAACTTGCAAAGAATATAGAAGATAGTTTTAGCTTAAAGAAATAATTTGAAACCCCCAGCTTTTAACTTGCGCAGTCCATATATCTTTAACCATTAGTTAACTGTTGCTTTACACTACTTCTGAGGAATATTGTGTATTTTTATCTCTTTATCCCAGTTAAGCAGCTTCATTTGTGTATATCCCCTCAACAGTAAACGCCATTGCAGCTGTCTAATACTGCCCAGGCCAAAAAAGTTACATATTTTACTTAATTTGTGTTTTCTTGTATTATATGGGAATAATGATGTGGTTTATACAAAAAACTATAATAAAAAGGTTTTTCTCACCTAAATTATAATATAATATAACATTAGTGCTAAAAGCAAAGTAATAAACTTGATTATACGGGATAGAGCCATGCTGTAGCTATATTATAGTTGTAGCACGAATGGGTCGGCTCGACCGGGGAAGGACCACGCTCTCACAGAATACCAGTGTCAAATAGCAGCTTCTGTTTTTCATATGGTGAGTGTAGAGAACCGGAGACCCTTTTTACTGGAAATGAGGCATTCCATCTTAGTCCTCACGGGTGACAACGCATCTGCATTCTCATTCGTAATCAAAGATAGGTGTAGATGTCTATGGGCCACAGCAACCACTTACCATCAGGTGGACTGTGTGCTCGTTTGTCACCCTTATTCTATAAAAAAAAATAAGGGTATTGCCCAATTTTCATAAAAAAAAAGTTATATTTTAAAATGCAACAAAAGCAAATGAAAACAAACAAAATTACATGCAAATGTTAAAGATAATTTATATTTCTCGATAGTCTGATGTTTTCGGCAAATAATGAACCAGAAAATACTAAATACGAGATAAAATAAACAAGCGCTGAATTAGGGCGATTTAATTGATAATTTTTGAATGGCAATACTTTCAAATTCATCAGTGAGTTCATCATTACAGCCCTTCACAAGTGCACTGCTGAACATAGGCCTCCCCCCAAAGAATGCCACAAAGCACGGTCCTGAGCCACCTGCATCCATCGACTTCCTGCATATCTTACCAGGTCGTCACTCCATCTAGTGGGGGGACACCCTACACTTCGCCTGCCGGTACGAGGCTGCCACTCGAGAACCTTTCTTCCCCATCGGTTGTTGGTTCTTCGAGCTATATGACCGGCCCATTGCCACTTCAGCTTACTAATCCGTTGGGCTATGTCGGTCACTCTGGTTCTACTGTGGATATCCTCGTTTCTGAGTTTATCACGCAGAGAAACTCCGAGCATAGCCCTCTCCATAGCTCGCTGAGCGACCTTGAGCTTCCTCATCCGGCCAGCAGTGAAGGACCACGTCTCAGTTCCGTATGTCATCACTGGCAACAGTGATCACATATGGATCACATATAGATCAGTTAAAAATTATTTTGTATATCTATCTTTGTCTATTAACAAGCCTTTTCATAAATATGAACAGGTTATGAAACGTCAACACAGTGAATTAATCGACATTATGGACAGTCCGGCGTCGACCCATCCCGGCTTTGTTTACTGTTGAGGGGATATCCAACATGTAACTGCAGTATTAACCTTATATGTTTTTGCAGTTTTTTTTTATTCATAGAAGGGGAGAATACCTGTACTATTTTCTATTAATCATTCTATTATTCTGATATTTGTCCATTAATTGCTAAAGGAATTTTGAAATTACTACCTATAAAATTTAAGACAATAAGGAACTGGACAATATTATGCAAAACTTCTTGACCAATTGGAAAAAAAAGCAATTGTTTACCAAAATGTTAGGAACACTGTAGGAAAAATTATGGATTTAAAGTAAGAAGTATTGAAACATTTTTCATTACCAGACTTTGCTTTGGCTCACTTACATCTATTTCCAAATCTCGAAAAATTTGTGTCTGGAAAAGTTTTTGGCTCAAGTGAAGATATAGTATTTATAGAGGAGTATTTTCCGGGCTGAATTGCACTTTAATTGATGATTGCATTTATTGAAGATCCACCAAGCAACAGGTATAAAATTAAAGGTAGTATTTCAAATGTAAATGCAGTTTTGGGCTAAAATCACAAATCTTTTACGCCCTAGCCCTAGACATTGTGCTGTTGTTTATACAAATTATGTAAATCATTTATTTTTTGGTCCAAATTATAAAAAGTTATTCAAACATTTTTCAGGTAACATTAGCATGTGAAGGTCAAACATGTAAAGCGCACAAGATGGTACTCTCAGCATGTAGTCCTTATTTTAAAAGCTTACTAGAGGTGAGTCAATGTGTTTAACTTTGTTACAAAAAGTAAAACTAAATCATAATCCAAAAAGTGGAGTTTTAACCCAGATGGGCTCACTTTGTGCTGGGCCCTACTTAATAAACATTATAATGTGACAAATTAGTAAAAAGTGGCATAATTGTCAAATTGTTCAGTAAATACCATTTAATAAAGCTACAAAATTGGGCAAATAACATTGCCAAATATTTGTAAGTCTATAAAAGTCCACTACTGAACATAGGCCTCCCTCATAGATTGCCTCTAGATAAATGCCACGCTTGACAAGTAGGTTGGAAACTGCAGTTTTTTATTATTTTGGGTTGTAATCGGGAAGATGCTGCTGCCCATCTCCTGTTTTGTTTTCCCTCAGTCGCCTCTTTTAGTGACACATAGATAGTGGTGATGTACAAATGTATCATTTTTAAAGCTACAAAATAGAAAGAGTTTTACTGTTAAATATATACTATTTTATAAATTTTCCATCATAACAATTTTGTAATACTTAATTTTTATCAATCAGAAATACACAAATTGTAAATTGTAACTTTTATTAGAATAGAGCCTTGACTTTGAGATAGATAATTAAATAGTTTTTAAATCTAATATATAAAATTTTCGTGTCGCCGTGTTTGTTACCAAACTCCTCCGAAACGGCTCAACAACAACAACAAGATTTGTATGAAATTTTATGTGCACATCTGGTAGGTTTGAGAAATGGCCAACATCTATTTTTCAAATAAAAATGATAAGGGTGACCTTCCCCTAAATATATTTTTTATTTTTTTGTCAAAAATTTTAATTTTTATCATATTTTGATTTAGCATTGAAAAATACACAATACTTAAAATTTTCACCCTTCTACGATCAACCCCTGTTTTTTAATCGCGATTTTTAATGTATAATATGGCAAAACAATGTTTGCCGGGTCAGCTAGTATATACAATATGTAACAAAAACCCCATGGTTCCCATTAAGGACGTTATCAGGATTATTATTCAAATGTTCTATACATTTACTTTTTTTTAAAAACTCCATCAATAATCTTTTTATTTTATTTAAAAAAAATTGTATGCAAATGGTATGTGATTTTATTACCTCTGCATTGTCTGGGGAGTAAGAGGATTCTCAAAGACCCTGCTTTACTTAGCTTTAGCATCGGCTAGTGTCAGTAAGAGGTAATAAAACCACATAAAATTAAATTTTTTTTTTTTGATAAAATAAATATGGTCCAATTTTTAAAAAGTAGTTATTTCTATAGGTTTGAATAATGATTCTGATAACGTACTTAACAGGAACCACAGGGTTTTGTTACATGTTGTGTATATTTAAGGAATAGATTTTTTGTGTAATGGTTTAGAAAATAAAGGAAGTATTACAAACTATTCACTTTTAGTTTCTGGTGTTACACCTGACCATTGGTAAATTATATTTTTTTATCTCATTTTCATTAAAAATGAAGAAGTTATAATACCATGACAAAACAAATCTATGATTGCTCCTAGAATGACAGTGGAATCCTAAAAATTAGCATGAAATATAATTAATATATATTTTTGACTTCTATTAAAGTTTTCAATTCCCTGTCGGGTTATTCAAAAAGTACAGTTTTATTGACAGCTTTTAGTGCTTTTTTTTTTCATTTACTTATTATATAATAACAATTTCTATGTATATTTTATCAGTAGAAAGCAAAAAAAAAAAGGATTATGCACTTGAACTAGCTGATTAAGTAATCTATGTAGTGACACTTCGGACATGAAAAGTAAACATCTTTAAATACAGGATGTTGCTAATGCATTGTCTTATGTTGACAACACTAGTATGGTGGGTGGGTGAAGAATTCAACATATTGTTTATATAAAACTGAAATGACAAACCTGATGGTAAGTGGCTATTGCTGCCCATGGACACTACTGCAACCAACTTTGAACAAAGGACGCTACAGATGCGTTGTCACATTTGAGAATTAAGATTGAATGGTTCTTAACCTGGAATTATATAATATGTGAGGGTAATATGGTCACTTATAATTCAAAAACTACAGCCTTGATTGTACAGATGACACAGTGATACAATAGCTCTTCATCAGTCAGTTATACATGGTAGAGCCAAGCTGCAGCTATATTATGGTTGTAGCACGAATGGGTCAGCTCGACCGGGGAAGGAGCACGCTCTCACAGAGTCGTGAGTCTAGTCATCGTAAGTGCTACTGTTGATCATGTTGGTCTGACCAAAATCAGTTTTTTGATTTTTCTGTCAAGAAATTCTGGATAGCAATTTGGAATCAGGAAGTTCGCTCTCACAGAATACCATAGTCAAATAGCAGCTTAACGCTGCTGTGTTTCGTATGGTGGGTGTAGAGAACCGGAGACCCTTTTTACTGGAAACGAGGCATTCCATCTTAGTCCTTACAGGTGACAACGCATCTGCATTTTCATTCGTAATCGAAGATAGATGTAGATGTCTATGTGCCACAGTAACCAACTACCAACAGGTGGACTGTGTGCTCGTTTGTCACCCTTCTCCTATAAAAAAAAGTCAATCACATAATAAATGGTCAAAAGGGTGCTGCTTTTTTGTTGACAGATGACATTATAGTAAATATTTTAGTCATTTTTAGTATTGTGTATTATAGTAAATTTTTATTAAGTTGATTTTTCGAAGTGTTATTATTGCTAAAGCTTGTAAGCTATTTTTTTTTTCTTATATATTAGTTATAATATACGACGTTGTGTTTTTGTGGTTGCCCTCCTTCCAGTTTTGGTTTTATAGGGCGGCAAAACTTAAGGTGACCATATTACCCTCACGTACCTTACTGGTTATTGTTTGCATATTTATGATATATACTCTAATAAAAAAAGGCATAGAAATTTAGAGGCTAAGTACTGGCTATAAATTTCATAATATGTGTGCAACTGGAGTTCGAACTCAGCGCCAGCGTCTTACTCAGAGCCAATAGTGCAATAACCTTTTTATTAAAGTAACCATGCATCCACAGCAAAGCAGCATAAGTTTGTTTTGGATTTTAAAAAAAATAGTATGCAAAATATTAATAGGATGATATCCCTACCATCCTTTAACATTTCACATACTATTTTTTTTTCATTTTCCACTTATTTGTATTTTCCACTTACTTTTCGGTTGACTCCAGGCTTATCTTTCTGGCTTTGTCAGCTCGTCCCCAGTTGAGCTGACCTTATATGTCTTAGCAGTTGAGGACCACACTCGCATAATATACCAGCATAAAATAGTACTTCTATACAAAAAAATGAAACGGTCCATATTCAAGATTATAAACTACTATTATATATATGACAACCGTTTTTACAGGAGAATCCATCAAAGCACCCTATAATAATCTTAAAGGATGTGTCTTACTTACACTTGCAAGCAATACTCGAGTTTATGTATGCGGGGGAAGTCAACGTATCACAAGAACAGCTTCCCACGTTTCTCAAGACGGCTGCCAGACTTAAGGTAAGGTTTCTAAATATTCTATCTATACAAATAATTAAAAATAACAGCTTTTTACTGAATGTATATGAGAATATATATATATATATATTATTATTATTATTATTATTATTATATTAACAGACAGGCAGTTGAGACAACTGATTATGCCTGCATCCTGTTTTTGTCCACTAGTTATTCTTTTTTGCAGTTCAGAAAGTGATTATCTAATCTATTTTTGAACTGGTTCACGTTTTGAGCTGAGTCTACGTTCTCTGGAAGCTTATTCCACTCTGTGACTACACGGTTACAAATGAAGTGCTTGTGGGGGTTGCTGTTTGAAAAGCTGGTACATAGCTTAAGATGGTGGCCCCTGAGGTGAGAGTTTTCATTACGAATAAACAAATTGTCAAACTCCTCAATGTCGTAATGCCCATTTAAGATCTTAAAGGTCTCAATTAGATCTCCTCGGTCCCTGCGGCTTTTTAATGTTGTAAGTTTTAAAACTTTCAAACGTTGTTCATAAGACTGCCGTTTCAATAGCCGTGGTACTTTAGTGAAGCTATGCTGTACTTTTTCCAAAGCTTCAATGTCCTTGATAAAGTATGGATTCCACACTTGAAATGCGTATTCTAATATTGGCCTGATAAATGTTTTATGGATCTTAAGCATCATTTCCGGTGTTAGGACTTCTAATCTACTTCGTGAGAAAAGCGAAAGATTATTCCCTTAGCTTTCTTAACAATTGTCGATATATGCTCTTCCCACTTCAAGTCTTCTGCAATTTTGACTCCTAAATCTGTTTGTATTTTAACATCTGTAAGTGACGCGCCGCTCAGTTTATAGGTAAGACGAGGGTTACGGTTTCCTATGAGTAATACTGTACATTTTGAAGCATTGAGATTTATAAGCCATTCCTTGGACCAAATAGCTATTTTATTTAGATCATCCTGAAGGCGGTCGTAGTCTATTAGTAGATATGCAAATATTTTAGTATCATCTGCAAATATGCTGACATTACACTGTAGGCAAAGGGGAAGTTCAAAAGTATAAATAATATACAATACAGGGCCTGGAATGGAACCCTGTGGCACTCCACTATGTAAATCTATGTGATCAGACTTCGTTTCACCAACTCTTACTTGTAGAGTTCTCCCACGCAAAAAAGACCCGATCCAAGGCAATAGTTTTTCACGTATTCCTACGCATTCCAGTTTCTGGAGGAGTTTTCTCGTAGGGACTTTATCGAAGGCCTTTTCGTAGTCAAGATAAATTACGTCAATAGGCTCTCTCTCATTAAAGTGTTTGGTCCATGATGATAGGCATAATAATAAATTGGAAATCGTGGAACGATGTGGACAAAAACCATGTTGCTGTTTAGGGATAACTTTGTGGTTGGAGAGGAAGTTTCTAATATGCTTGGCTATAATTTTCTCCATAATCTTGCAGACCACACTGGTCAGACTGATGGGTCTGTAATTAGTTGGTTCCAGTTTGCTACCTTTTTTAAATATTGGTGTCACCAATGCTGTTTTCCATAAGTCCGGTAAGGTGCTTGTCTCGTACGATGTTTTATACGTGGTAGAGCCATGCTGCAGCTATATTATGGTTGCACGAATGGGTCGGCTCGACCGGGGAAGGACCACGCTCTCACAGAATACCAGCGTAAAATAGCAGCTTAACGCTGCTGTGTTTCGTTTGGTGAGTGTAGAGAACCAGAGACCCTTTTTACTTCCAGTAAGCTATCCATCTTAGTCCTCACGGGTGACAACGCATCTGCATTTTGATTCTTAATCGAAGATAGATGTAGATGTCTATGGGCCACAGCAATCACTTGTGGACTGTGTGCTCGTTTGTCACCCTTATCCTATATAAAAAAAATGTTTGCATTATTGTCGTTAAATAGTGAGATAGGTTGCATTTCTTCAATATAGTTACTGGTATATCGTCTGGTCCCAGAGATGAATCTGTTTTCATTTCTGAAATGACTTGGTTGACTTGGTCTGGCGTGAACAGAATTTCTTCAATGGAATCCTCTACTCGAAGTGTCGGGTCTAATGTAGGCAGTTGGTCATTTGGTTCTGTTTGGAAAACCACCAACACCAAAAACCACTCGCGAATTGGTTCGCAAATACCTTGGCAATTTCGTGAGGTTGGGTCACAGTTTGTCCTTGCTTGTTTAGCAAAATAGTAGGAATGCTTACTTTTGATGTTACTTGTTGTCTTATATAGGAGTAAAACTTTTTTGGTCCTGCCTGCAGTATTTCTTGTTTGTAGCTTGTTCGGGCTTTTCTATTTTCATTTAGTAATTGGTTATTCGTGCTTCTGCAGTCTCTATAATGTTGTTTTAGTCCAGTCAGCACATATCTGTTCCATAAGGCTATTTTGTTCTTGATGAGGTTTTTAGTTTTGTTTCTAACCCAGGGCTTGTTTATGTTATTTAGACAGATATCCAACCGTGGTACGTACAAATTTTTAGCTTCCATCAGTGCCCCATGAAGGGAGTTAAATTGTGATTTAACACACTTTTGGTCTGCCATATTTTCGGGTAACATTGATGACAATTTAGTGTTTATTTTTTCGTAATCGGCTTTGTTAAAATTTAATCTGGTTTTATCTTGCGTTTGTTGGTTCTGCGTTTGCAACTCTATAGTAGCCAATAAGCAGGTATGATCGCTTTTACCAATAGGGGCCTGGTGATCGATACTGGCTATAAGTGAGTCCTCATTTGTTAATACTAGATCATATGAAGGTTGATTTCCTTGACGATACCTAGTGTGTCTATCTACTAACTGTTGGAGGTTACTGTTTCTGTACCATTGTATGAAGTTATTTTCTATTGGTGTAAGATATCCGCTATCTTCTAGTGGCCACTTCACTCCACCATAATTGAAGTCACCCATTATTAACACATTGTTAGACTTGGATACATGATGAAGCTGATTGAGTAAGCTGTTATCTTGGTCTATTGTAGAGTCATGTCCTCTATACAGTCCACATAGTAGGAACTTCTTATTTCCGATTTTAACGTCAAACCATAAACATTCCGAAGTTTCATATTTCTTGTTGTAAGGGTTTATTGTGTTTTATTGTCAAGACGTCAATTTCTTTTGAGGCATAAATTCTGACTCGACTACGTTTGCCTATCCTGTCATCTCGGTATAAGTCATATCCAGGTATTTTTATCAAGCCAAATATACCGGACTCAATCCGGTATATTTGGCTTGAGCCATGTTTCAGAAATTATTATCAACACTGGATTTAACGTATTGACTCTGGCAATAAGTAGATCCAGTTTAAATGTTACTGATTGTATATTTGTGTATAGTATTGATATTTTTAGAAATTTTGGTATGATCTTAGGGACTATATTATTTGTTTTGTTGGATTGTTGTAGTTCGTTGTTGCTATTAGTGATTAGTTTTTTTGTGCATTAGTTTTCACAATTGTTGGATGTCCACGGATATATTTTATAGTGATGTCCGTTTCTCCGCCATTTATGCGTTTATTAAGTTCTTCTCGTAAGTACTTCAAATATTCTCTTTGCAAGGGAGTCAGATCCGAGGTAATGTTCGAGGGCTTACTAAGATTATTTCTATGGCGGAGGACTTCCAGTGCAACGCTCTTGTGAAGGATAACTTTCAGTGGCATCGGTTTGGCATCTGCATGTTTTTTGGGAGCACCAAGACGAAAAACCTTAATTCCATTATAATTAACTTTGTTTGTGATAGTGTTTATTGTAGCCACACATTCGCCTACGTCATTTTCCTTCCTCTTATCGCCTATATCACTAGTTGATTCGGGTACATCATAAATAATTAGATTGTTTGCTCTGTTAGCTCTTTCTGTCATCTCCTGAATTGCTGATTCAGTTGCAAGCATACTTTGACGCATACGCAGTTGCTTTACTTCTTCAGAAAGCTCATTTAGTTTTTTCATTATCATTGGCAGTTCGAGTCATGGCCGATTTACAATCGCTGCATAGAAAAGTCATAACGCGAGCGACTGTCTTTAGCTCTAGCATACGTACTTCGGTAGGTGACAATCCGTGACATTCCCCACATAACAGTATTTTACAGGAATCACATGTTCAGATGGTTTTTTTATCATTTGGTGGTTTAAGGCACTTGGAACATATTCCAGATGGTAAGTTGGTATTTTTTTTATTTGAACTCATTTTTGGTAGTTATTTTAATTGTATTGCTGACAACACTGTGCCGAATTAAAAAAAATCTTGAGGGTATTTTAATAAACTTTCTTAAATATGGTGTCAAATATTAACTAATTTTTCACTATTTTGGATGTTTTATGCTGTTTTACACCGAAATAACACTTGCACAAAACCCACTAATATTGTTAAGCACTTTTAAAATGATTATAATCAGTTTCGTCCACTTTTTTGTTTAAAAACTAAATTATTCTGGAGAGCCTATTTATTACACCTCAGTCATTTGACAAAGCAAATATATGGTACTAATAACAAAAAAACAATTTTTAAAATTTTTGTCTGTCTGTCTGTCTGTCTGTTTGTTCCGGCTAATCCCCGAAATGGCTGGACCGATTTCGACATGACTTTCACTGGCAGATAGCTCATGTTATAAGGAGCGGTTTGCTACATCGTTCATCATGCGTACTTTGCTGTACACGGAATAAGTTACCAGCAACTGTGTTTCCATCCGATTACAATAGAATAGAATAGAATAATTTTTTATTCAATATAGATCACATGTGTAATTCTTATTGAAAGTCATTTTTTACTTTACCACTGTGTTACATTTTACAATGTGGGTGTCTTCAAGGCAAGAGTGAATAGGCTTTTGTTAAGTCAGTGTGCTTCACCATCTTAGGCTAAATCACCACTTACCATCAGGTGGGATTGTAGTTAAGCGCTGATTTAGAATAATATAATAAAAAAGAGCAACGTCGAAAGTTAAGAGTGACTGAGGTACCACGATCGTCATTCCGCCTGCTGAGCGTTGTGATTACTGCAACCCTATATTACATAAATATATAGGGTTGCAGTATGGTTTGTAAAGAAGCACGAAAAGAAGTAATTCAATATACTTTGACCAAATTGTACAATTAAAAAAAATATTTGATTATACCCTGATCTATTACAGGCTTATCGAAAGGATCCGTGCAAAAAAAATGGTAACACATGAAATCATAGTAAATTCCACGCGGGCGAAGTCGCGAGAGACAGCTAGTTGCTTAATATAACATGTCCCAAAAAATACATTTTAATCTACTTTCTTATTTTTATTTATTCTTATTTTTATTCATATTATCATAATTATTACAGCACATCATAAGTTTTCTGCTGAACATATGCCTCATAAAGTTATTGTTGTCTGTAGTTGTTGTCATGCTTGGCAGCTGCTTGCCAACCACAGCACCACATTTTTTTATTATTGCGTTATCAGGAAGATTGATTGAATGGTTTGTTTGTTACTATAACACTATGTTCATGATGACTGCCTCGTTGGTCTAGTACTTGTAGAAGTGTGACTCCTGATCATAAGGTCCCGGGTTCGTATCCTGGTTCGGGCCAAAAAAAAACAGTTATTGAGCTTTTCCATAAAAACATGTTTGTAGTAGGGGAACACCCTTTAATTTTTAATTTATTTTTATTATTTGTAACAAAAATACACATTCTGTGAAAATTTCAACTGTCTACCTATTACCTGCCCGCTGACAGACGGATGGATGGACGGACAGCGGAGACTTAGTGATAGGGTTCCGTTGGTTGCCCTTCAAGTACAGAACCCTAAAAAGCGAATATGTTAATTCATAACTTTTCTTTTATTGGTCAAAATTATTACACAAATTCCTCAATAACTTAAAACTAGAGTGTACAACCGTTGTGTGTTCAATATAGCCATGCGCGCCGAGCAAGAATTCGGCGGCGGCGGCGCGCCGACCCATTGTGGTCGGCGTGGCGACGCCGCGCCGGCGCGGCCGTATTTTATTTTAATTTTTATAAACATTTATTTAAAATAAGGTAGTAACAAGTGAAACATAGACCTGGATAGGAATTCAAATTTAATTTCTCAAAATAAAAACAAACCAAACAAGTTCTAATTAATTATACCTTATAATTTGTGCAAAAACGAAAAAGCTCATTTTTTTGTTTCTTGCACAAACTATAGGAAATTAAAATTGTGTTTTTTGCACAATGTATAATTATCATTAATAAAAATAATTTTATTAACGTGTACTAGGCTTAGTCTAGATCTTTTAGCAGTCACAGTTAGTCCCACTATAGAAAAAACGCGCTCACTAGGCGTGCTAGTAGCAAATTTTCTGATCACGGAGTACTTTTTATATACGTACTGAAAGTTCTGATACGCGCTCCAGAGACTGTAAAAATTTAATTTGTTCTATTTCCGCCGCTCGCTTCAATTCCGGTAAGCGATACCGAACGATTTTTACGATCTTTTTACATTTTTTTTATTGATTTTTGAATTTTTAAATAATTGCATGGTTTTATTGACCCCGCGCCCACGCGCCCGTCCCGCGTTGGTTCACGGCGCGCCGATCGGATTTGTCGGCGCGGCGCGGCGTGGGCAGGGCGCGGCGTGGCGCGGCGGCGCCGGCGCGGCGCGCATGTCTAGTTCAATAATGACATATGGAACTGAAATATAGTATTTCACACATTGAGCAAACTCTAGTTTATATGCAATAGAACCAGAGTAGGCAACATAGTTAATTGGATCAGTAAGTCAAAGTGACAAAAGATCGGCCACATAGTTAGAAAAACCTATGCAAGCTTGGGGAAGAAAGATTCTTAGAGTATTGGATGGATCTTGCTAGATGGATTAACAGCCTGATAAGTTATACAAAAAGTTGATGGATGTAGGTGGTTCAGAACTGTTTTGTGGTGTTCCTCAGGGGAGCTCTGTGTTCAGCAGTGGACTTTTGTAGGGCTGTAATGATGACTTTAAATATTTAGATGCACAAATACTACATCATTTTACGTTTCAGGTTAAAGGTCTTGCCGAGCCCCCACCGCAAATGCCTAGCATTAAAAGAGAAGGCTAACACCAGCCCAGTGCGCAAGTGCCCTAAAGACTTTAGTGAACATAATGTGGAACACCAATGTAACATACCAATAAACTAACTAACTACCCTCACACATTTATATATCATGCTGCAATCTTTTGAGTTTCCATCAACCTGCTTGCTACACATTGGACTAAAATACGATTGTTGCGGAACTAGCAAACGTAAGTTGAAATTTCAGGTTACTAGTTTAACTATTTTCAATATATATTAATTATAAAGATGTGTTATTTGTACAATTCTGGAAATACCAATGTAATATTAAAAAATTCTTGCCTATGAAGTGATTTCTATAAAAGAAAAATGAAATTTCTACTTCAATAAATTTTTATATTAACAGTAGCTAAAACACCAAACAACATAACAATTTATTTCCTTTAAAGTGTTTATTTAGTGTTTTAGTTCAATGTGTGTCAAAGATTCAGAAAAAGTCCATTCCATATAATTAAAAACATTATGTTATATTAACCCATTATATGCACAACATTCATCAATTTAATGTTAAGTTATAAAAATATTATAATGCAATTTGATTCATTATGTATTTGTATCGACACATCACAATCGAATTTCTTAGTTTCCATTAAAAAAATTAAATGTTCATAGGTGTATACCTGTATAAACAAAACCATAGAGAATCTCCATAGCTAAGGGAATTAAAAAATATTTATTACTTAAAACATATGAGATGTGCTGATTGTAAAACGTATGTTTGTTTCAAAGAAATATCAGATATATTTCTCTGATTGAAAAAAAAAACATGAGTACAATAAAACTGAAATATTTTACAAAGTGAAACATATTTGATATTGAGATAAACAGATAATGTAGCTAGAACGGTATCTTGGCAAATCATATTCATATACCAAGCAATAAAAAGAAATATGTGATTAAAACAATAAACTTTTATTATAATAAGTGCACTTGGTTGCAAAGGCATAATACATATACTACGGCAAGGCTGTCAAGATTAGATAAAGAATGTAAACAAATTTTTAAGGTGCACACATATTTTTAATTTAGGCATTTTTTTAAAATAACCAGTTTCAATATGTCATTAAAAGATATTAAGTGATTGTCAACAACACCCTTCAACAATATCTTCAGTGGTGGCTGTTGTTAGTAATTGCCCCATGAATGAATTATTGACTCGGTAGAGTCAAGTAACTGGTATCACTAGTTGTGTTTTGATGAAATATTTATGCAGAAGCTCACGGGAATAGGCATGGGTTATTACATGGGGATACCTAAGTTACTCTAACTTTGTTTTTCTCTTATACTACTGCTAACGAGACGAGATAACACAACTCAGTAATCCGTCAGCGTTCCTCCAATGTTTATATTAAAAAACGTAAAAAGTAATTTTGAATATGCACATATTCATTTCTTCCAGGCTCACCATGTCACCACACAATCCTGATGATTCCTAGTGATCATATCTCATAAGCTTTATATAGGTTACAAATACAATGTATGTTGTACACCTTATTAGTTTTTGGTAAATTAAAACACAATGCACTCGTTGAAATCGGATAAATTTTTTAAAATATTTTTTTTAAATGTACTCTAGATCAATCCGGTTTTCAATTTTAATTAGATATTATATAATTACAAAGATAATTACCTTTTTTAAATTAAAAAATAAATAAATGACTAACCACTTTAATTTGCACTATTTGACATGGTTTTCTTAGGGTAATAGTACAACAGAGTATGATTTGTCAAAGGCACCACAGCCTGGCTATGATAGATGTAGTTGTTTTGTTTATATATAATGCAGAATGCACATTAATGTGGTAGCATAGATACAACGCCCTTAGCCTCAAACACTGTCGTTATCCATAAGTTACCTATCTACCAAAGTGTGCTTATTAGATTTTATATTCTGCAATGCTATACTAATTCGCCATGTTCGTTAGAGCGAAGCCGCAGTCGCGTTTAGAAAAGAGAGTAGTAAGACAGATATTCAATGTAGATAACTTGTTTTGTTTTAAAAATTTTATATAACTCTTGACTCAATTTTGTTGTTGCTGTTTTCTTTTGAGTAAAATATGATTTGAAAATTCAGTTCAGATATTCCATTTTAATTTTGTGTGTACAAGTCGCGGCACGTAAGTCTATCACTGAACGAAACGTGGAGGGGACGCGCACGAATTGAATTGCGCGAATGCGACTGGAGAGCCAATCAGCGCGTGCAAACGATACGCACGAGCCAATCAGCGCGACTTATACGCCATAACGGTCACCGCTAGATTTTCGTGCCGCTACTTATACACTTGTATTTCTTTATGTCTCAATGTCTTTTATTTTCATAAAGCGACTATTGTCACAATGCTACACGTGACTGCGGCCTAAGGGCTCAGACTGTGCTAGCATGTTGATGACCCTTCATAGATCTATCCACCAACGGTTGCCTTATAATTTACATGTTGAGATATAAACACAATATATAAAGTTTGTCGATTCCTCAAATGCTGTAATTTTATAAATAAATAATAATTTATAGTTTGTACATGTAAATACAAATATTTGTTAAATAAAGCTATGAACGCTCATTTAGCAATAATATTATCACAAATATTTATGTTGAATTACAATTTGAGGATCGACAATAAATTGTGTATAATAAACGTCTAACGCTGCTAATTTAGCATTGTAAAGTGTTGTTGACACTGTGTGTATAGAAAGATATGTATGAATTAGCAATAATTATCTTCCTTTGTGTATCCCAACCTAAGAACAACTTATTTGCATTGTTTGTGTGTTATAAAAATTTGGTTTGAAATGGTTTTTTTTAAATTGCTTTACAGAGTTATATAATAATATTTTCTAAATTTTTTAATGGCATTTATTTCTGTTGTTTTAATTGAAATGAGTTTTTAAAATGTTTTGTAAAATAAACTGTCTCGTGAACACTGTGCAGACCAATAAGAAATTGTATAGCAAATTATCTTTAAGTATGAATGGACGTGCATGAACGGCTTTTTTACGATTATTTTTAAACCTTCGGCACTTTGCGATTTGAGTGATGTGAAAATCAAAATTTGTGGCTTCAATTAATGACATTAGTTGTAGTCGTACTGCGAATTCTATTTTTGTTTGAATGTTTGCGAGTGGCAAATGTGTTTTCTACTGGTTCTATTTTATATTATGTATATCCATTTCTTTATTCTCATTATAAAATAGGTGCAATGTTTATCCTATCAGTTGAATTAGAAGATTAGTTGTTTTAAAATGTCCTAACTTATAATAAAAATTTCGGCAAAAATCTGTCGTTTTAAAACACGATGTATATTAGAGTTAGTTCTAATTCAATTTTTTTTATTAGGCTAAGTATATAAAAATTCAGCACAAGTGGCACTTCAATACTTTTTATTTTGCGTTTTAATATTAATGTAATGCTAAGTTTATTCTACCTTCCTTTTACACCATTCTTCGCCCATTTGTAATGATAGTTGTAAAAATGTAAATCTGATATTTTTAGAAGACAGAGCTATGGAGTGTACTGAATAAATCACATGAAACTAGTTTGTAATAATGATTGAAATTATGAAAGATTTGTAATTTTAGAGAATACAAAAAAATAACTATATACTATTTTATTTTTTCTACTTTATTGTTCCCCTGGCAATTTCACCTATGCGTCGACTGCGCCGAATATTAAACTGTCGCATTATAAATCCACCAATAAAAATGGCATGCCAAGACTTTCTGGCTTCGGACGGCGCAATAACAACATATTTTTTTCCTATGCCTTTAAAGCTACACTCTCTTACCGTCTACCGCACGTTTACCGCAATAATTATGCCATTAAATTACTGCCTAAATTACAGCGTGAAGTAGTGTGGTTACACTATAGTTTACCAAGATATGGCAATGAACTAGGCAAGAAAAATGTCATTTTTCAAGATGAGATTGAAGCTGGGGCAGTGTTTTACTTTATGAGCGTTACTATTATATGAATCTTTTACATTTTAACCAAGCTAAAGCAAGACGTAAATGAGATGGTAGGTAATAAAAATGCACAGAATGCGTAATAATCTTTTTAAACGAATTCCAAAAAAGGGGGAGTTTCTCAGTTCGATTGTGTTTTTTTTTGTGTGTTATCTCAGAACTTTTTTCTAGGTGATCTTATTTTGCCTTTCGACTACATTGACGTTCTCACTTTATATTGAAGTCGGTTGTAATAAATATTTAATAAGAAATTGTATAGCAAATTATCTTCAAGTATGAATGAACGTGCATGAACGGCTTTTTTTAATGATTATTTTTAAACCTTCGGCACTTTGCGATTTGAGTGAGGTGAAAATTAAAACTTGTTTCCGTTGAGCTCATGTTACAAACTGAACAAACTGTAGTGTGGTCACTTGACGAAGACATTACCGCGGTAATCGTCTTTGATATGCGAAAAACACCGCCTCCGGAGCTCTTACCTACCGTCATATGCCATATTGATTGACATTTCAATTGGACGTAGTTATACAAAAACGTTCCAACCCACAAGTCATTCAAAAATGAGTCTATATCTGTATACTTAACTCATTTTTGATTGTCACTCCCATGACTGACTTGACATTGGCAGAATTCTTTGAAGAGAAGCCAAAAAGTAAAGAAGAAGTAAAAAATGTTTAATTAAACTTGCTTTCTGTTAAAAATTAATAAAAAAATTGGCCCTTACCCTACTATATCATGCAAAACATGACGATATATCGATATTTATCACGCCATATATATTGTTACTGTTTAAAAATATCGATATTTTTCCACTTGCCCATCCCTATGACTGAGTAAAGGTGTAAAATCAGTGCAATGTAATGACTGACGTCTCTAATTAGGGGCCACGCCCACTCTTAATTCAGGGCCCTGAATCGGTGTAGTGTAATAGAGGTATTAGCCGCTCGGAAAGTGCTCAGCCCGCGTTTCGGGCCGCACCGCACCGCACGATTGCGCCGTCTAGACGCATTCGACTTCGATGACCG